TATGGTTTTTCAGAACTTTTATCTCAGGGTATTTATTAACCTATAAATATTAACAAGTCACATCAGTATAATCTTATGTTGGTACTTTGAATTTATCATCTAAGGGTTCTTCATGTTTATTAATAAAAATGTTCTTAATTACCATATTATTAATAAAGATTTTCTTCATGATTATTATCCAAAGGTTCTTCTATGCTGCAGTTTCTCTTTAATAACAATTAACAGAGCTGTTATTCCTGCCCACAGGGATTCACATTATTGCAAGGCTGCAGGTTAATAATTATTATTCATGTGTACAATGCGATCTGCCTTGTTATTAATTATTATTCATGTGTACAATGCGATCTGCCTTGTTATTAATTTTTATTCATTTGTGTTATGTGACCCTCCTTGTCTCTTCCTTATGTCGATTTCCGCTCACCCACGTCAACTCCCGTCAACATCCGTCGACTTGAAATAACTTGAATTTATATTAACTAACGCCATGTCAACACTCGTCGCCCCGTCAACACACGTCACCCCCGTCAACACTCGTCGCTCCCGTCAACACACGTCGCCCCCGTCAATACCTGTCTCTTATACACATCTAGATGTGTATAAGAGACAGCTGTCACTTTACNCAACACACGTCGTCCCCGTCAACACACGTCGACCCCGTCAACACACGTCGTCCCCGTCAACACACGTTGTCCCCGTCAACACACGTCGTCCCCGTCAATACACGTCGCCCCCGTCAACACACGTCGTCCCCGTCAACACACGTCGTCCCTGTCAACACACGTCTCCCCTGTCAACACACGTTGCTCCCGTCAACACACGTCGTCCCCGTCAACACACGTCGCCCCCGTCAATACACGTCGCCCCCGTCAACACACGTCGCCCCCGTCAACACCAGCAGACGCCGTGTCTGTCGCCTCGCCTGTCGACCACGGCGCCGGCCCTTGAGACGAGCAAGCTGCTGCCTCGTCCATCATCATCGTCCGACGATGACGTCCTACGTCGCTCACCGTCGCCTGACGATGACGTCCAACGTCGCCCATCGTCCGACGATGTCGCTAACTCGTCCTCGTCTCTCTCGGTCGCCCGCGAGCAACTTTATCCTTGATTGCATCCTTCACTAATCCTTGACTAACTGCATCGCTGTGAGTCCTTCAAAACATTAGCTTTTTATTACAATTATCGCGTACAGAAACTCTTCCTAGGCTTAATCTTCAACTTCTTGAAGAAACATCAAAATATACTCTCATGTTTCAGTTTTTAATATATAAGCGTTTTATCTTGCTGAGCACGCGGTCTCAGTCATATAATGGTGGGAAACCACTTATTTTGCTGATACTCGTGTACATATTGTATATCTTCTATTTTTATATAAATAGTCTTAGTAAATATCGCACTTTCTTTTTATCGCACTTTTGCTGAATGGGGTATCAGGCTGTACATTTTCCTCATTGTTTAACATGGGAGCCGGTAAACCGACATTATTTTATGCTAGCTGCTCACTCTTCCGTTCTGTTCGGGTTTTGGCATTTCAGTTTCCTTTATTTGCCTCACTAAGGGAATGCGGTTGCTTACCATCATCTTTACTCTACTCCTAGTTTGTATACTCTTAAACGCAATTTGCCTTTTTTGCACGAATATTATAACACATTATTTCATTTATTATTCCATCCAGAAAAGTCTCCATTTAAATCTACTTGAAAACTTTTAGTGTTTCTAAAAATTTAACCAAAAACTCCATCTTTGAAATTATGTCGCGATTTCTACAGAGTTTACTGAAATTGGTACTATGTATCCGTATTCGAATACCTTCAATAATATTTAGGTGATATTTAGCCGCACCACTAATGTCTCTTTTGATGTCGGGTTATAACAAAAAAAATTGATCTCTTAAATTATGCCGCGATTTCTATAAAGTTTGCTGAACTTGGGACTATGTATCCGTCTCGAATACAGTGATATTTTGGGTTATATTTAGGGTAATATTTTGGGTTATATTTAGGGTAATATTTTGGGTTATATTTAGGTGATATATTGGGTGATATTTAGGGTAATATTTTGGGTTATATCTAGGATGATATTTTGGGTTATATTATGGGTGATATTTAGGGTTATATTTAGGGTGATATTTAGGGTAATATTTAGGGTGAAATTTAGGGTTATATTTAGGGTACTATATTGGGTCATATTAAGGGTAATATTTAGGGTTATATTTAGGGTGAAATTTAGGGATATATTTATGGTAATATTTAGCCCGCATTACTAATGTTTCCATTGTTTTCGGGATTCTTAATTCCTGTGCATATCATTCGTCATCCAACAGTCAGGTGACGATGAAGGCGAGCGATGCACTAAATTCGGCAGCGGCGTAGGACGAAGATCGTTAACGGAGGCGACGAATGAAGTGACGTGCGGTGAAATGGTCGTCGCAGACGAGGTAAATCTCGGTGCTAAGACTGGCAGTAAAGCTACCGGAAGTGGAAGTAAAGGTACCGGAAGTGAAAGTAAGAATACCGGAAGTGGCAGTAAAGTTACCGGAAATGGAAGTAAAGGTACCGGAAGTGGCAGTAAGAATTCCGGAAGCAAGAATACCGGAAGGGGATATAAGAATAGCGGACATGGCAGTAAGAATAGCGGCAGTGGTCGTAGAAATAGTGGCAGTAGTGGCATGAGAGATGGCACAGCAAGGGAAGCTGTCAGCAGCGCCAGCACGAGTCAGACAGCTGACACTGAACATCCTTCGATGCCTGGCACGCCGCTTAGCAGCGCGTCAGCCGTCAGCGGCGGCAGCGACACGTCATCAGCCAGCGCATCTTCGTCGCAGGCGCTGCTGCTGACATCGCCCTCGTCAGCCACTGCTGGCGCCAGCATCGTCTGATACTGCCGCAGTAAATGTTATTGTTGCATTTGTGTACGAGTTGAGATGAATAAATGTCTGACGAAAATGAATGAATAAGATCTGGTATATAACCACATGAATCTGTTAAGTTAGTGAAAATTATATTATATACTAATAAATTTAAGGAGATCATTTGGCTTAGCGAGCTGTACATATAACCTCATTCATCACTCATCCAGTGTTGCTGTCTTCCCGATTTAATTTTGTGCAACTATCATGCAAATTATTGTTAATTTGTGTCATGATTGCATATGAGCGAAATTTTCAACTTACTGTCATAAAAAATGTTGGTATTCTAGAATTATCTTTATTTGTACATTTTCTTTAGAGTATCGTGCATTGAGCTGTTGTATCATAGTCGAGCTTAATGATACTGAAACTATCTGATCATATAAATGGTAGTTAATAAGTCTTGTTGGGTTCCTATTTAAGCGTTAGGCTCCTGGGAAAGTATGTCTGCTATTTTCCTCTTTTATCTTTAAATGCTACGCTAATTTTCTCATATGAATCTCCCGAGACTCTGGCCACATTCCTAGTTATTATTCTGGTGCTAGAAATGACATCACATTCTTTTTTGTATATATTAGAAATTCACTAAACCTTATCATTCTTTTGTAAACGTTTCGTGATTTGTTTGATCGTCTTCGTTCTTTTGTAAACAATTTGGTTTCTATTAGACATGTTCGTTCTTCACTCGACTTATTCGTTTTGTCCTGACGCATCCGTCCTGACCTCGACGCATTATTTTTTTCCTCTACGTTATCCTTCGTTCCCCGCCGTGTTGCTCTCTTCGCTCCATACTTGACTTTTTCGACGGATTGTTTCTTTCTCGACGCACTCGCTTTTCTTTCTCGATATTTAGTTCAATTTTCCTCGTAGGTTTCGTTCAGTTCTTCTCGGATATTTCATTCAGTTCTTCTCGGATATTTCATTCAATTCTTCTCGGATTTTTCGTTCAGTTTTTCTTAACGTATTCGTTCTTTCATCGACGTAATCGTAATTTTCTCGACGTGTCGCTATATTTTGAATATAATTATGTTGAGTTTCCCTTCTCTAGACGACCTTATCCTCTTGGTACAGTGTCCCTGTGTCTTCTAAATCGAAGGCAAATTTAGCTTGGGTATTATTAGGTTTTTCAAGTGTTGTAATGTACAAGTATTACATGGTCTACTGTAATGTGGAATTAAAAGTTGTACTCGTGTAGTTAACCTTCTTATTATGTACATAACATGATTAAAATCTCTTTCATTCCAGACAGTAGTTAGTCTGTCCTAACACATTCATGGTAAGTTAATCAGTGAAGAAGAAACAATCAAGTAATCTTGATTTCTAATGTTACATGCCTGCTAGAATCGTGCGACCGAGATCTTACGAGTCTTCTTGTATTTATATATTCGTGCAACTGTTCATGACCTGATAATTATCTACGTTTAATTATTATTCAATTAATTATATACGCATATGTATGTTTGTCCGTGCATTCATTCGAATCCTTGTACGACATCTGGGATGCCATCGTTGTAAATCACTGATTTGGAAGGAAAGATAACGCTTATCTTGTTTGGAACTCTCGCTGTAGAGAAGTGCGTATATTGAAGGTTTCTCCACTCCGTTATCTGTCGCGTAGACGTTTTCCCCCGAGGTTTTAAATGCAATTTGTATTCAAAAATAGATATCTCTAAAACTTTAGTTAAGTTTGAACGATAAAAAGTTACGAATACATTCACATTTGTGTTAAAGAGGTAAGAGTAACCCAAAGCCGTTCAAATGTTACTAGGAAGATATTGAAGATGAAATATTCAGAAGATTTGTTTGTATTGACTTCAGTGACGAGGATGGTGGTAGCTTTTTCCATGGGGTGCTCATCAACACAAATGCTGTGGGGTACGAAACAGGATGGTTCTCTCGAAAATTATTATATTTCAACGTTCATGATTCGATCAACAAAGTAGCCTTTTAAGACAGCACCTACAACATGCACTATCCTGACCAACTGGCGACACAGTGTAACAAACTCTACGTCACCTCGCCGAAAAAAATAATTTTTACGTCAGTTCACAAAAAGCTAATATGGATTAGGAGAAGACACAATATGACAATTATAAACAATAAAGAATTGTGTTGTTATTGCAGTGTTAGTACAACTACTAGACCACTTAATTAACTATACACCGACGCACGCGACCTGCTAACTGCGGCCATTGTACCGGTGCACGGACCCTGTATCTTGAGTATCGTTCGTCTTTGACGGTCACAGCGTTACAATTAATATTTCTCGACAAAATGTATTCAATTTTCGATGACAAATCAAGTTATACAAATGTAAATAATATCTAAGTTCGAAAAATTTAACGGCGGTATACACAACAAGAATGTACCTGAAAAGTAAAGGCTAAATATCTAATCACGAAGCTTTAAGCGCTGGACTCAGAATCGTACAAGTAATTTAAAGCAAAGCAAATTACACAGAAATTCACCATATCTTGCCACATAAAACGATTCCAGAGTCCAGCTCTATCGTCAGGTTGAAAATAGTAGAATGCTGTTACAATCACAGTTCGTACAACTGTTTTTTTAATATTCTAGAACTTGTGGACTGACGATGGAGCTAAACTCTGAAACTAAGCTATGGTGAATTTATGAGAAATTTTCCTCGTTATTAAATTTCTAGTGAATTTCCGATTTAAGCAAACGCTTGACATCAATACAGCATCAAACGTCATAACTTAACACGGCGCTGCAATGGGTGTATAACACAAGAAATATTCAAATTCGAAAAAATAGGCGGATTATCTAATTTCGAAAAATTTAGGGCAGGATCCAAAAGTTCCTGAAAAGTAATGACAAAAAAAAATGTCCGGGTACGAAAAAAGGAACGATGCAATGCAAGTGCGAAACAAAATATGGAAGTACATTCGCAATGTAAGAACGAAATTGTCATTTGTTTAGTATTTAAGTACGTACACTGAGATATACGGCAGAATATTACTGAATACATAGAAAAGAAATAAGTACACCAAGAAAGTATAAGTACAAAAGTGATCAAAGTGAAACGTTATCCTGAAATAGGAATGATCAGAATGCAGATTAGCATAAATTAAGTCTTGTGGTTATGATTTGCTTAATATTTAAAGCCATCGACATCTAGCAACAACACAAAAGAATTCATTTAAACTCGTTAATGTCAGAAATTTTACAATACATTATAAAATTATCGAATACTAGAAAACGAATCAAGCGGGAGTTCAAAACTACCAATAGATAATTTACAGGATCAACAATTCGTGTTTCAAAAACATGACTTTTCAATTTTAAAAAATGCTTTCAATTCCTTCAATAGGAAGATAGTTGGCGAGTCTCTGATGATTAAATAAAGTTCACGTCATCAAAATTAAAGTCCGAGACAAGAAGGGTGATGTGAACCTTAAAGTTTACCCCATGGCAAATAAGCTCGCTGATATTCCTGCCAGAAGCGTAATTTACTCAGAGGAATATAAAGTCTTAATACCTCATCTATACTTAGGAAGACACGTAAGGCTATGATTTAGAAACACTAGGTCTACGTACTAGAAAAATACGGTGCGCGTTGGCAAAACCTATCAAGATATACAGTGCAATTCATTTTCTACGGTAATACGTACGGGAATCAACATACGGCAGTGACGGTTACACGGGAGCGCGGGGTGACTCTTCATCTTACGACCACGATTTATGATCAAATTTAGAACTTTTACAATAACCGATAGTAATTGGCTTAAAAGCCTTTGAATCAGGAAATTTAATATACGGGAAAAGCTTCATCACTTACATAACAAACTCAGCGCCTGCGTTTAACAAAGAAAATGTAGAACTTCCTTCACGAATATCGTTTACAGTTTCTATTTAAACACCTACCGCTCGAGAATGTTTCGATGCGTCACTCACATCAACGAAATATTTGCTAAAACCTGCGCCATGACACAAGAGATAAGCATTTAACTATAGCGTCACCACTGCCAATGATAATTACCAATGATGACCAATTCAGTGCGTGCGCTTTACAAAACACATTTAACAATTTTTACACAATCCTCGTAAATACAACGCGTCATTCAGACCAATCATACACGGCTGAACTAGACCAGCTCCAAGAAGGGGCTTTTCCATGGGGCCATTAGGGGCGGCCAGTACAATTTTCAAATGCAAACTGCCAATAATTACCACACTACTGGCCTCGTGTGTACGACTATTGGGTTCAGTAGCTCCTTTACAGGAGGTCAATAGCAATAGGCTATTGCTATTCACAGGCTTATTGATAGGCTATTGCAATTAAATAATAAGCAATAGCTTATTATTTGGAAGTCATGCTGGCCGCAAGTCGTTCCGGGGTCATACTTTCAAGACTCGCTAAGTGAACGTAAGTACTTACGCTGTATTTTCTTGTCTATGATTGGTGGATTTTGCTTGAAAGGCCGTGTCTCGATGGATCAGGCTTTCTGAGCGTGGAAGTGTCAAGTGAAGAACGACCTACGCGCGTAAACATGAGTAAGCTTTGAGACACATCAGACTGTTTAGTGAATACACCAAGAAATGCATCAATAATGAATACGATGAGAGTATGGAGTGGTTAGAACGAACAAAATGAGCTAACAAGTGACTCGGCAGCGAAATTTCCAGCAAAAAGCTGAGGCAACGAACTTTCGCTGAGTACATAGAAAGATTAGCACTGCGCGCATAGCGAGCGCTGTCCGAGACACACTCTGAGCTGTCCGAGACACTCTGGGCTGTCCGAGACACTCTGGGCTGTCCGAGACACTCTCTGGGCTGTCAGAGACACTCTGGGCTGTCCGAGACACTCTGGGCTATCAGAGACACTCTGGGCTGTCCAAGACACTCTCTGGGCTGTCCGAGACACACTCAGGGCTGTCCGAGACACTCTCTGGGTTTTCCGAGACTCTCTGGGCTGTTCGAGAAACACTCAGGGCTGTCAGACACAGTCTCTGGGCTGTCCGAGACACTCTCTAGGCTGTCCGAGACACACTCTGGGTCGTCCGAGACACTGGGTCGTCCGAGACACTGGGTTGTCCGAGACACTGGGCTGTCAGAGACACGACAATTACGACTTACGGAGATCGCAGCGTGGTCAGGAATCGCCCCATCACTCCGTGCGTAAGTCCCATTATACGATAAGGCACTCAAGCGAAAGAATCTTTCATGACGAATGAAATTAAAAAAAAAAATTTCATTTCGCCTTTGAATTTCTAGGGGACATCGGTTTCAGCTTCATAAAATTCACCAAAACCGACGACTTTCGAACAAAAATTAACGGGAAGACCAAGTCTTTGGTCTCCGTATGAGTCACGCGTGTCGAAGCTAACATTAACTTATAATTAGTTACAACAATTATATTTATAGAAACCATGCCCGCCAAAGTCCCCACCAAAATATCGAGGGCAATAGCTCCTATAAATTAGCTTTATTTGCAAAACGTACCGAATTAATCAACGGTACTGATGTTTGGAACAACAATAACGAGTGGCAAAATAGCGGGTAAAAGTTATTTCCTTTCATTCAAATTGAGAGGTCAATTCTTGTGAATAGTGATGATGTCATTGGTTCATCAGCAGCAGCAATATGGCTATCTTATTACATTAACTGAATACACTGACATATTTGGCTGCCGACAAGTAGGTGGAACCATCAGTTCAGAAAGGATGAACATCTAAACAAAAAGCCAGGAACCCCGTTCAAACAGTGAAGGGTTATAGAAAAATTAAATAGTAAGAAAAACTAATTTGCCTTCCAAACATCGATCAGAAACCAAAATTCCTGGTCCCAAACGTGACTCAAAAGTTTCCATTGAAATCAAAGTTTACAGCAAGAATCCCATAGAAAAAAGTCTACGGCCTATAACCCTAAGGAATAAAAATTAACATCGCTAAATATAGAAGCCTTATAATAAACTGCAGTTCCTGACCCAAACATCAGAAGATAAAACCCTTCGGCCGGGAGCTGAAGTCCTCAACAAAACAAAGATAAACAGAAACGAGTATATCTTTGCCTTAATAACAATTCACTTGCTATCCATTGTGGGTCATCCTGACACAGTTTCTACTGGTAGAAGAGCGTATCTGTGGTATGTGCAGGAAGCAACACATCTATTTTCCTGAGTGTAGGTTCGTGGTAGCGTATTTAGTGTAGGTTCGTGTAGGTGTAGGAACCTACTGAGTGTAGGTTCGTGGTAGCGTGGTAGCGTATTGAGCATGCAAATCCCAATAGCTGCAGTCTGAATGGAGATGACGTAAGAAATTATTTTCTCATGGAGAATAGAGACGCTAAATTACAGAATAATATTCGAGTTATTCGCTCGCTGTGGTAGACTGAATATTATTCGCTTTTAGCGGCTTTTTGAAGAATTTTACAAAGAGGATAAAAGCTTAATTTGCTATGATGAAAACTGATCAATAATAATTTCACAGTAATTAGTGACGATTGGATCGAAGAATAAACATTGTCCATCTTTTCTATAGGGTTAGTAGATGAAGAAGTCACGCTAGCGTAAGCAACTTGTAATTTCTGAAGAATCCAAAGTGAAACTAGAACTTTGAGCCTAGGACAATCAGTGTTCAAAGCTTTGTTAGCCGCTTAGTAAATTTGGACTTGAACTAGAAAAGACAATTTTTAATCGCTGCAAAATATAACCTATACAATTTTGGGTACAGTCAACCTTGGTTTTGAGTACAGTCCAGCTTTGGCAGCCGAGACTTATAGTAGTGAAGGCAGGGCAACACCTATTCTAGTGAAGGCAGGGCAACACCTATACTAGTGAAGGCAGGAAGGCGTGTGAAGTCTAGTGCAGGCAGTGAAGTCTAGGAGGCGAGGCCGGCGTCCTTGGCCATGCTGTAGAAGAGGCTCTGTTTGTTCTTCAGGAGGTCGGCGGGCGGCGCGAACTCCTGCACGACGCCCTTGTCCAGCACCAGCACCCTAGGGGCGTCCATTATTATCATTATTATTATTATTATTATTAATAGCAGAAGTAATAATAGGAGGGGATATAGTAGTTACATATTAACTAACGCTTCAATTTAGTTATCTATATCTAACGCCCGAAGTTGAGAATGAAAGAAAAAAGTTGGCATGAAGAGAAATTGAATAACTGCGTAAAGATGATGCTATCACCATAAGATGCTCGTATGGTGATAGTTGGGCTATTGTGATGATGGTGCAGGACTCGTACCTGTTACTGTCTAGGATGGTGTTGAGGCGGTGGGCGATGGTGATGATGGTGCAGGACTCGTACCTGTTGCTGTCTAGGATGGTGTTGAGGCGGTGGGCGATGGTGATGATGGTGCAGGCAGAGAACTGCTCGCGGATCGTCTTCTGGATGAGGTCGTCGGTCTCGAGGTCGACGGCGGCGGTCGCCTCGTCCAGGATCAGGACGCGCGTCTTGCGCAGCAGCGCACGCGCCAGACACACCAACTGCCGCTGCCCCACGCTGTTATGGTGTTTATAATTGTAATTATAGGAGTAAGTATAGTAGTAATTATAATATTAGTAATTATAGTACCGTAGTAAATATAATAGTACTAATTGTACTAGTAGTAATTATATAATTATGGATATGGTGTGTCTTGATACGCGCAGCAGCGCGTATCAAGACACACCAGATGNCGTCTAGCGCGCATGCGCGAGACCGGGGAAGTATTTAAGGGGCGAGCGGGCCACCGCGAGCCAGTTCCGTATCGGCGTTAGTGGCGGTTAGAGCTACTGGGCGGCGTTCTACGACTTAGCCGAGAGCCAGACGCATTTGTGGAAACAGCTCCGCGGGTGCGAGAGATAGTGCTGCAAGTTAACCACGACGATTCAAGACGGACAACTAGTATCAACGGCCAAAAGCTACAACGCGAGCCTGGTTATACGCGCTCAGAGTGAGTTACATCGAAGCAAAGTTCTACGAGTGTTCAAGCAGCAACCCTCCGCGTTAGACCGCAACGCCGAAGAAACCAACGCCAAATCCAAGTATTGCCGGATTGAGTCACCGGGGAGTCTTCCAGCGTACATTACGACATCTCTTCAGATAACACCACGACACCCTTCGGAAAACACCCTCAGACAAAGCTCACCGAGAAGCAACGAACGCCGCAGCCAAGTATTGCCGGAGTGTGACCGAATAAATCCCGAGGAAATCTGCCGACGCTCGCCTTCATTCCCGCCGGTGATGTACCTCTTTTTGGGATCGGTTAAATACTATCCCCATTTTAGCCCTCTTTATTTGTACTATTGTGAAGGTTAAATTATTAGCGTGCATTGTAGCCTTCGTTGGGAATTGCAAATACGGGTAGGCTAGGCCTAGGAATTTGTTGCCAATTTTTGCCGTGCCCAGTTCTGTATTAGGGTGGGATTTGCTGTCTTTAAGTATATAAGAGTTGACATGCTTATTTGTATCCTTTCCCTTGTCAAGTCGTAGCTGCCAGCGGGAGAACTTTTTCACTGTGCCCCGGCCTCGTGCTAAAACCTAACAGTAGGATAGCTAAAACCTGAACTAAAAAATTCCACGGAGAGAAAAGTTAAAGGATTGACGTCATAACTGGAAATGGATAAATTTGTCGTAGGGTAAAAATCGTAAATAATTTACATCAAGGTACAACCCATAAATTAAACTAAAATAGGAAGGAAGGAGTAGACATCTTTATTCTAATCAGTACATGGCAGTGGTAGGGTCCAGGTTCATGCGCAGGGTTCCACTGAACAGAACCGGGTCCTGGAGGTGGCAAGTGGTTAGTGGTACATGGAGGTGGTAAGGAGAGGGTTAAAGACTGGTAAAGACTGGTAAAGCACCAGTAAAATGTACTGGTGCTTTATTTCTGAGCACCAGTACTTTTTGTTTACCCGGGGAAAGCAATACATTACATAGGCATGATCACAAGAAGGATCCGATCCAAGCATTATAGCATGGATGATGAGTGCTGCGAGACGATGATACCTGCGGGATGATGGTGAGGCGATGATACCTGTGGGATGATGGTGAGGCGGTGATACCTGCGGGATGATGGTGAGACGATGATACCTGCGGGATGATGGTGAGGCGAGAGCGCAGGTCGTGTAGGCCGATCTTGGCGATGTCGACGCCGTCGATGATGATCTGACCGACGGCGGCCTCGATGATACGGAACAGCGACAGCGTCAGCGATGACTTGCCCGCCCCCGTGCGACCCACGATACCCACCTGCGGGACACGGTAGGTTAGGTGAGGTGAGGTAAAGTTAGGATAGGTAAGGTTAGGTAAGGTTGGGTTAGATTACCCACCTGCGGGACATGGTATCGTGACAGCCAGGCACGGTGCCATGACAGCCAGGCACGGTGCCATGACAGCCAGGCACGGTGCCATGACAGCCAGGCACGGTGCCATGACAGCCAGGCACAGCGCCATGACAGCCAGGCACAGCACCATGACAGCCAGGCACAGCACCATGACAGCCAGGCATGGCACCATGACAGCCAGGCACAGCACCATGACAGCCAGGCACAGCACCATGACAGCCAGGCACAGCACCATGACAGCCAGGCACAGCACCATGACAGCCAGGCACAGCACCATGACAGCCAGGCACAGCACCATGACAGCCAGGCACAGCACCATGACAGCCAGGCACAGCACCATGACAGCCAGGCACAGCACCATGACAGCCAGGCACAGCACCATGACAGCCAGGCACAGCACCATGACAGCCAGGCACAGCACCATGACAGCCAGGCACAGCACCATGACAGCCAGGCACAGCACCATGACAGCCAGGCACAGCACCATGACAGCCAGGCACAGCACCATGACAGCCAGGCACAGCACCATGACAGCCAGGCACAGCACCATGACAGCCAGGCACAGCACCATGACAGCCAGGCACAGCACCATGACAGCCAGGCACAGCACCATGACAGCCAGGCACAGCACCATGACAGCCAGGCACAGCACCATGACAGCCAGGCACAGCACCATGACAGCCAGGCACAGCACCATGACAGCCAGGCACAGCACCATGACAGCCAGGCACAGCACCATGACAGCCAGGCACAGCACCATGACAGCCAGGCACGGTGCCATGACAGAAAGACCTAATGTAGCAAGACTACAAATTATGTAGTACCATTGAAAAAAATGATAATACTGTCAATTAATTCAGTGCAATTGCCAGACAGGACAGAAACTTCCGTATGATATACGAATTACTAAATTCTACAATTATTCATCGTAAATGGCACTCAATTTTGCAGTACTTCTCATTTTTTCGTTCTTGGTTGGAGCAAAATTTTATGTTAGCCATCGATACACATTCAGCTTTGATCATAATTTATCATAAGATTGTCATCACTAACTCACAATTTACTCGATCTAAGAAAATATTTCCATAACCTCTTAGATTTTTATAAGGTCATAAAAAATCGAGAGCACGTCACAAACTCGTGATCTATGAATAAGTATAGTATTAACTATAAATAGGTACAGTATTAACTACGACTTTGTACAGTATTACTGCGTTCTATGCAGGCTTTATACACTAGGTAAATAAAAGACTTGTTGACGCAACCTTCTCGCCGGACTGGACGGTCACGTCTATGTCTCTGACGACCAAGTCCAGACCTTCACGGTACCGTACTAACTATAAATAATCACAGTATTAGCTATTAATTTGTACAGTATTACTGTATTCTATGCTTCTATGCAGGCTTTATACACTAGCTGAATAAAGGACTTGGTATTAAGACCTTCTCGCCGGACTGGACGGTCACGTCTATGTCCCTGACGACCAAGTCCAGACCTTTGCGGTACCGCGTCGAGAACTTGCTGAACCGCACCAC